TTCAGATCTTGTATTTTTGACAAGAAAAATCAGTGAAGTTGCAGTCCGGCATCTCCTCATTCGCATGGAAATTCGGCAATTGGTACGGTTAGTTCGTGGGTGCTACTCCATATAACATCGACTGCGTTGTGATGGTTGACGCGGCACGTTAACCGAGGGGATCACTGAGGGTGACACTCAGAAAAGGAGAGGTACTATGAAATGCGTTGTTTGTTGCCTTGACTCTCAGCTCTGATAGAGGAATCACGTAGGCGCCCTGCCATTATACATTAATCCGGTGGCCTGGCCTCCACGACAAGTCAGTAGCACGAAGGCCCACTGTACGTCGGCAACACATACTCTGTGCTAGCATTATGTCCTCTTTCTTCTTCAGGCAAGTCCTCGGGCACTACAATATGCCTGCCTTCTTCTGCCTCGGACTGCATAACTCCCACCATACTCGACTTGATTCGCAACAATACTTCCTCCTTCCCATGAATACTAGTACAGCCTATTTTTGTCGTGAAGTACTTTCAACTAATCACCTCACTCCTAGTAGCAACTGTGCTCCATCTGGCGGTTATTCGATCACAGTCAGCATTTCTGTGGGTGGGGAAGTAGCACGGTGAGAGTGGAAGCTGTTCGCTCTGAACAAGTGGGGATGTCAAGATGTGGAAGTAGGCTGACATTTGATGTTTGGCGCATGCCTGAAGTCGAGTTCTGCTTTTGCGCAGTTGGGTTAGAGGAGTGGAAGAGTGTCATCACACCAGTGCTCAGGACTAGAAACAACTTCTTTGTGGAGTAGGGCTTCATTGATATCTTCGTGGAGTGGTTGTGCGCATTTACGAGGAGCCTTATGGCCCAGCTGAGAGTTTGGTGATTCATAAAATGACAATAACACGTGCCGAGGAATAAAAACCCATTTGCAGCTAAATTCACGTACCCATCATGGCGTATATGCAATCCATGAGAGGCCTCGATATGGAGAGAGTTGGTGTGTTGCAGCACGTCCTTCGTAGAACAGCACACACCAAACTACCGAAGTGGGAGACATTTGTGAACGATTATACTCTCTGTGTCCACAGTCACAATCATGTCTCATACAGTAGAATGATAGGCTTTGAGTCAGTCAGGCATTGGAAGGGCTGAATGTCCAATTGCGTGGCTGTGGTGCTGTGTGCTGGTGGCCTTGTGTGTTCCACCATGGTATCTTGCTTGAAGACTTCTGAGGTTGCAAGTGTCTACGTGACTCTCGTCACAGGGAAGCCTCATCAGATGCACTCGTCAATGAGATTGGTGATGCGTGAAGTAGGGTGCAGTGCCAAGTGTTAGTGACTGCGGCCTGCAGTGCTGTAGGAAACGGCAACCTTGGACAACATGTACAGCGCCAAAGTGCCGCCTTGATTTGAATAGCTTGTGTATTTGTTGGAGTGGT